TCTTCGGTGAGATTGGGACTCCATTTTTGTAAAGAACACATCCACTCATTAAAGGACCAAGGGCCTCGTCGAAGAACTGATTGCAGAGAATCTTCGGATTGGAAGATAAATTGAATCTTTTGATCTTGAAGGATTCTTCCAATGACTTCGTCACCCATGCCCCAAAGACGAGGCAGCGCCGACATCATTGCTCGGAGATTTTGCTTTCGGGAATTCACCGGTTTGCAGATAAGGCTAAATCGGGTCTCTTCAGCCGCCTCTGCACATAAATCCAAAGGGAGATTGATGATTCCATCATCTATTCCGAGCGAGATGTCTTGTAATTGTTTCCTGATTCTATCTGACATGATTAGAATAAACAAAGGAAATGGATTCCTTGTTTTTGATCTTCGCGAAAAAATCAGTAGACAGGCACAAGATATATATAGGGATATCAGAATAACGGTTATGGAACCCAGGGCAGTTAATCTGTTATCCAATCCTGAAAAAACCGACAATAACTGCCGGAAATTACACTCCGAAGAGAGATAAACACTGAGAAGGAGGGAAAGTCGCGATCGCCAGAAAAGTTGCCTCGCTCTCTCAGACATGAAAGCTATTCTTATACTTGTTTTTTAAAAAATGATGTGGATCATTAAAGCCTATTTAAGATTTGTTTTTTTAAAACCAATTAAAGTCTATTTACTTCGAAAACCCTAATGTATTTCCAAAAACCCTAATGTACTTTTGAATCCTAACAGACTTCTTCAAAACATTATACATAAATATTTTGGTTTTAGAACTTTCTTTTAACGTAGTTTTGTCTGTTAATATATACTTATATAGTGAACTGAAATCCATTACCTTTTTACACTATATTTGATTTCTTTCTACCAGTTTTCTTAACGTGTATATTAGAGCAATCACTTTCATTCGTTTTTAAATTTCCTCACTTCTTCTTCATCTGATTTTTTCCTTGCTCTAGGTATATTCTTTTCTCCGTTTGTTTTCACTTTCCATGGATCTTCAGATAAATATATTTATATATATATATATATATATATATATATATACTTGTGTTTTATTTTTAACATATTGTGTTTTATTTTTAGCACAAGGGTGTAAAATCTAAAAAAGATAATAATGACAATGAAAAACTCTGAGTGAAAAACTGGAAATGGGACAAATAGAAAAAATATAGTTTGGAGAAGACGGAGATGATGAAAAATAAGAATGATAAGATGACGAAGGAGGAAAAATGAAAGATAAAGAAAAAATAAAGATGAAGAAAAAATAAAAAAAGACGAGAAAGAAGACAAAAACAAAGAAAAAAAAAAAAAAACATAAGTAGAAGCAAAAGGTGGATTAGACCAAAACGTTAAAGAAGAAGGAGGAGGAAGGTAAGGATTTGGAGAAGGTGAATAAAACTGAAAGAAGATGAAGAAGAACAATAAGTTGGATACGATGAAAATGGAAAAAGAAAATATGAAGATAAACAAAATCATATAAAATAAGAAGAAGAAGATGAAGCAGAAGAAGTTGAGGTTGAAAATAATTTTGAGAAGACAAAAACGATAAAAAAGAATAATCATAAAAAAAAAGACAATGAGAAACTGAAGAGAAAGAAGAAAAATAATTATTGAAAAAAAAAGATGATAAAAAATAAATTAAAGTCAAAAACGATTAAGTAGAAGAAGAAAAAACATAAATCAAATATAAAATACGTTAAAGAAGAAGGAAATGTGTGGCATGATAATAACACTTACTTACAAGAAAATGAAAAGAGAGTTCTAGTGAGGGAAAGATAAAAAGAATTAGTCCAAAAAGAAATTATGTAATTATAATGTGCGAATGAATAGAACAATATTGATGGTTGTTATATCTTTTTCTTTCGGTTGATTAAATGTCTAACATTGTTCTTATATATATGTTCAGTTTTTTATTGGTAACAAAATTTATAATTATAAAATTTGATTATTTTATAAACTAGAAAAGGCACAGGCTTATTAGTCCTGTAACAGATAGGATATCCTGGTTGTTTTGAGATATCCAGATCTACCGAATCCGAGTTTTAATTATCTGGATCCGTAGCCAAGGTGTCCGGATATCTAGACTTCGGATATTTACTTAAATATTAAGATATCTAATATTAAGATATTCGCCGGATCTAGATAAAAAAAATATTACAAAACTAAAATATTAAAATAGTAATAAAATTAAATTTATTTAATATTTTGTAAAAACATAAACTTTCTTTTATTGGAAAAAGTATTTTAATTTAATTTTAATTATTTTATATATAAATATTTCAATATATTACAAGATTATTAATAAAATATAAATTTTAAATATATATTTAGAGGTTAAGGAATCAAAACAAATATTTAGAATTTATAATTTAACTATTTGGATTCGATCTGGTTTTGACGGATATGAGATTTTACTATCTAGATCTGGATCCAATCTTCTCAGATAACCGGATTTTTCAGAGCGGATCAGAGCAGATCTCGGATTGAATCTTAGATACCAGATAATGATTCTAGCCGTAGGGCTTTAGGGCTTATTACCTAGTATATAATAATTCTGTACATTCGAACTCCATTAAAATACCACCTAAAACTACATTGTCGACATAAAGAAAAAGGGACAAAATCTTAAACTAGAGGGACCCATTGGCTTTTATGCGCTTATACATAAACCACACGTTTTTCATGTTTTTGAAAACGAAATCAACTAAAAGAAAGACTGTTCACAAAGAAATAAAGAAACATCAAACCAAGGGGAAAAAAAAAAGATCAAGGCAGGTTTTAGGCCTTTAGCTTAAGATTCCTACAGTTAATTTTTTCTCAACAACACACGAAGAACAATTAATGATCAATCAATTGTTAACTCAAGGTTTATCTTTTGTTTAACACCAAGAAATAAGATATTAATCACTAGGTTTAGAAGAATTTGATGGAAGATGACTAGAGTTGATTGTCCTAGTGGTAAATTCTTGTTATAATGACCACTATTTTACGACCACTTAATAATAATTCGGGTTTAAGAGGTGTTCATGGACTATAAACTAAGATTATCAAACACATTAGAAATTCTTTGTTCTAAAGTTTGTTCTTATTGCATGTTTTTACCTTGATCAATTTGAAATTGATCTTAGGGAGATAGATCCACGAGAGTGTATAAAGAGTTTTATAATCACCTTAACTAGGCTAGCTGAGCTTATAACATGCGATATCAAACCTAATCTTATAGGGTGTTTTCCTACTTAATTGCACGCGAGAGTTGAATAATTAGGTTGCTTAAACATAAGTTATTAGCAATGCGAGACTAGGTTAAACTCCTAAACCGAATCGGATCTTCCGATAATTGGATGAGCACGTCTAATCCAACCCATCACTGATCCAAAAGAGCTAGGGGCAAATTAATTAAGCTGCTACTAATTTGGTGGTTGAAAGTTGTTGGAGCTCTTTCACTTAAATATATACTTACTTGATGCCTATGAGGTCGTTGGGGAACGTGGTTAATATAGACCCAAAAAAAGAGAGAAAAATAATACATTCTAGTTCTAAATTAATATGGTGGTTAAGAATTGATGTTTGCCGACAAAAAAAAAGGATGCAAAAAAGAATGGATGCTTACTTCCTGTATATATATACTTGGTTTAGAATGGATGCAACGAAACATACTTGGTGATAATTCATTAAAAAAAAAAAACATACTTGGTGATGTTGCACAAATAAGGTAGGTACACTCTCTCTCAGTCTCCCACATAACTGTTTATGTTATTGATACCAAAAGAGAAAAACTATTTTGTTTTATTAATTGATTTTTAAATAATATTTATGTAAATATTAAACAAAATTTAAGTTATAATTAATTAAAATTATTAATGGATATTTTTGTATAAATTCTTGATTTTTTAATAATATTATATTTTAAATTGATTGATTTATAATAATATACTAACACATAACAAATGATGATTATATTTTTTAATAAAAATATAAAAATATATAAATTTGAAATAGTTGAAAAAAAAAACTCGCATTTTACGTGCATCTATTCGCCTAGTCTTTATAAAACTCATATCTTTTTGTTAACCAAACAAAAAAGATAATGCAAAATGGATTGAATAGTATGATTTTGAGGATTTATGCATATTAAATTATTTTGGGAAAATTTGTGAGATATTTTGCTTCATATATATAATTTTGAAAGGATTGTAGCTTAAAAATATCTTTATAAAACTTATATTTCTTCGTCATTCGTCAACCTAAAAAAAAGGTCATATTTATGAACTGGAAATGATGCAAAATTGATTGAATAATATGATTTTGGAGGGGGGAAGAGTTAGAAATAGCATATTAGACTATTTCAGACAAACTTGTGAGATATTTTGTCGTATTATTTCGAAAATACAAAAAACATATTTCTTGGCCAACCTTAAAACTCATACGGAGTATTTCCAAACTAAAGATGATGTGAAAAGGATTAGGTAATAAGGCTTTGGTGCTTAGAAATAGCATAATAAACTATTTGGGCAAATTGTGAGATATTTTGCCATATAATTTCGAAATTTTTGTAATTGAAAAGTATTATGAAACTCATTTCTACGTCAACCTAAAAAGGATTTAATAAGAAATATGATTGTTATAAACACACTTTGTTAACTACAGTATTTTATGAACTGGAAATGATGCGATAAAAATTGAATAATATGATTTTGAGAGTTTAGAAAACTATGTGGCAAATTTGTTTTGCCATTTAATTTTGATAAAGATTGTAACTTCAAAAGAACATTTATACCAAATTCATATTTCTTCGTCGTTATGAGCTGAAGATGAAACTAAAATGATTGAATAATAGGGTTTAGGGTTTTTGTTTTATTTTTTCTTTGTCAGGCAAAGATTTTGAGGGTTTGGAAATAGCATATTAAACTATCTGGACGTATTTGTGAAATATTTAAAAACAGTCAATGTTAATGCACAAACAAGTCAAAAAGAAACCGAACTATTTCGACTCCGATTGCGATTCCGATCTGCGATTCCGATCTGCGATTCAGTGCCAAAAAATGAACGCAAACCGTAGAGTTTACCGGCGATGCCGATCTCTCGTTTCTTCTCCGTCGTGTAGTTTCTATCTGGCGGGTAGGTTTTGGGAGGATCGGACTCTTACTTTCAAGACCTCTGGAGCTATAAGAAGAGATGGAGCCGATTTTGTTTCTGATTACCATTTTTCTGGGTTTCGCTTTCTCCGGGAAGTGCAGCGATGTTTACAGCAGAAACGATTTCCCTGAGGGATTCGTATTCGGGTCCGGTATTTCGGCTTTTCAGGTTTGCAAATTCGAACTAATTTCCGATTTTTCCTTATTCGGATTTGAATAGTCTTTTGATGATCGGAAAAATTGGTTTTGATGAATATGAAAGTGGGAAGGAGCTGTTGATGAAGACGGGAGGATGCCTAGCATCTGGGATACATACGTTCATTCTCGTAAGCTCTTTCACAAAGCAAAAGTTCGAGTTAGAATTCATAGAGTATTGAAATGTTTTCTAGGGTTTAATCTCAATCGAGTCTTCCTTAACGATGCAGAGGCTGGACCTACCGGAGATGTAGCCTGTGATGGGTATCATAAATATAAGGTTTTGTGAAATGTTCCTCTTTGATCAATTTGTTTGGTAATCAAAATCAGCTATGAACAATGATAATGCTGCAGGAGGATGTAAGGCTAATGTATGACATGGGTTTAGGTGCATTGCGACTCTCCATTTCTTGGCCGCGGCTTATACCAAGTGCGTATGTGTGTGTGTTTGTGTGTTTCTTTGCCAAGAACTCTGAATTTTGTTACCTTTCCTCAAGCTTTAAATGTGTTTTTGTTTGTTTGTTTTTTCAGGTGGAAGAGGTCCTGTGAATCCAAAGGGTTTACGGTTCTACAAAAACCTCTTAAATGAGCTCACAAGACATGGTAAGATTATGCTTCACATTTAGCGTGATTGTGGCCTGTCTCTTGGAAGAACATGAATTTGAGTTTGTTTTGGTTCTCTCTATTTGGTATGAACGAGAGTATAGGAATTGAGCCGCATGTTACGTTGTATCACGATGATCTCCCTCAGGCTCTTGAAGATGAATACGGAGGATGGATTGACCGCAGAATCATGTAAAGCCAACATTTTCTTGCAACTAATAACTCAATAAGTGAAGTGTGTTGTATCTTAGTATATATTTGATCATCTGTTGCAGCGATGACTTCACGGCTTTTGCAGACGTTTGCTTCAGAGAGTTTGGGAACACAGTGAAATTCTGGACTACAATTAATGAGCCCAATATGTTAGCATGGGGAGGTTATGACTTGGGATTTATGCCTCCTAAGCACTGTTCTCCACCATATGCAATGGTCAAATGCTCCAGAGGAAACTCTTCAACTGAGCCATATATTGCACTCCACAATATGTTGCTTGCACACGCATCTACCTCAAGATTGTATAAACAAAAGTATAAGGTAAGCGTACACATACACACATATTTATCCCTGATCTCTTGAACGCTCGATTTATATATCTTTCTATATGTCTCTCGATTGATGTTGTAGGATAAGCAGAATGGATCTCTGGGTATAACCTGTTATGCATACTGGATGGTTCCGTTAACTAGCTCTGGAGAGGACGAGATTGCAACTCGGAGAGCCAAAGATTTCTATTTAGGCTGGTTTGTTGAACACAATCATCTTCAAAAATTTGCGTGTATTTTCAAATACTTCTGCGGCTTCTCTGATGAAAAGGGTTTCATCTCTGGATTTCCAGGGTTTTACACCCGCTAGTGTTTGGGGACTATCCTGACGTGATGAAGAGAATTGTTGGAAAGAGATTGCCTAGTTTTTCGGATGAAGAATCAGATCTCGTTAAAGACTCATTCGACTTCTTGGGAATCATACACTACACAACAATGAACATCGCACACTTATCCACTTCCCGGCAAGGAGATTTTACTTCAGACATGAATGCTTCAATGAGCAGTATGTTTTTCTTTCCTAGGATCTTTGTGTTTATTTTAATCTACCATACCTGAGTCCAGCTGATTCGTTATTCCATTTTCTTGGACAGACTTTGGGAAATCTACATTTGTCACGGTGTGTTTCCAAAGACTGCCAATTTAAGAAACCTGTTTTTCGTCACCCTAACAGTACTTTTTATTAATCTTGAGTTTTCTTGTCATATATCCACAGATTGATGTGCTTCCTTGGGGTCTTGAAGGAGTATTGGAATACATAAAGCAGAACTATGGCAATCCTCCTGTCTACATTCTTGAAAACGGTCTTTCTCTCTCTTGTTCTTTACTTAGTTTTACAAACATTATACTAATTTTGAGAGTGTCTCTGTAAATATACATAATCAGGTCGACCTACAAACCACCATTCATCGCTCAACGACGTGGGAAGAGTTGAATACCTTCATGCTTATATCGCTGCTGTGCTCAATTCAGTGAGGAACGGGTCACAGACAAGAGGCTACTTCCAGTGGTCGTTCATGGATTTGTACGAGTTTCTGAATTACAACTACACGTATGGATTATACTATGTGAATTTCAGCGATCCAGAACGTAAGAGATCTCCAAAAACCTCTGCTCTTTGGTACTCTGCTTTGCTCAAAGGGTCGATGGTTAGTTCACAAGTGGCAAAGAACCTCTCGGTATCTTCTTCTCCTGGTTATGCTTCTCAGTAGTATAGAAATTTGACCGTTGGTTTGGTTTCGTTTCCGGTTTTGGTATATTCTTATTCCACGAGAGGAGGTTACGCAGGTGCGTAAAGTATAAAATAAATACAGGAACGTTACGTACCTTGATAATATTTTGTTGTTGTTGTCGATCATGTCTTTGATATACATCGAAATCACTGCACCATGGCCCTAATCATATATATTATATGCAACTAAATTTCTACACAATCAAGTCTAATGATTAACGATATATTGATGAGATAATGCAATTTTTTTTGTTTTGCATTATCTATTCTAAACGAACATCTAAATAATGCAAAAAAAAATTCTTCCAAAAACATGACGTAAAAATGTCATTAACATTTGTTTCTCTTTATATTTTTACTGCTATTAAACATATAAATGTTATTTTAGTAATACGATTTTCGTAGATTAAATTCCAGAATTATTTTTGAAGTCTATTAAACAAGGAAAAAAGAAGAAGAAAGATGCAGGCATATTATTGATCTTAAGCAAACTATACTCTAATATTTCGAGCATACACAATTACATTCTCAGCTGAGACATGAACTCCTTATAAACTTACCTTTCTTATAAATAGGAGATTTAAAAATCCCCTTATAGTTAACGTTGCGTTATTTCAATAACATTCTCTAGGAGAACTTTGGTACTTATTGTGATCGGTACAATAGGCATAGTTCATGTACTTGTTCCTCACATGCTCATAGACTTTCTGTTCATATCCGCTTAACCTTTGATACTTGCCTGCATTCCACCAGTAGTTAGAGGATCCAAAAGCGGCCACATCATTATTCTGACTGTCAATGTAGCAGTCGGAAAGGCCGGAGAAGTCTTGGAAATGGGCAATGAAAGGAGAGTATAACCAGTTAACCTTGGTTCGACCGCCATCAGTTGCCCAATCGCCACCGTTCCAGAGACTGGCCTCTACTTGCATAGGCTTTGATGGATAGCTTACTCCTTTTTCGTTTTTGTAGACTCTTATTGGGATGTTGTCTACGTAAAACCTATCGATCATACCGTCATTTCATCTATTTGATTTTGTTTGTAAAGAACATGCACTAAATAACTCTATTTTTGACTTACATCGGCAAAAATGACTGAGAAAAATTTTGTTTTTGCAAAATATCCTGGATGAAAGTTTGCCCTTCTTCCATATTTCATTTTTATATCCAATTATAAAATCACCCTGGAAAAAACTGCCATCTTTATTTACGATTTTGTCACTTTTATTATTGACAACACCTTCCATCAAACTTGTGATAGCTAGAGTCCTTATGTTTTATAGTTATCCAGGGGATAATGCAAAATATGTATTCTAAGTACTTAAAAAAATTAAAATCCATAGAATATATTGAAAAAAGCATAAGACATATTCTAATTTTTGTAGAATATTAATTTATTATATAATTTTTTTTTTCAAAAACGTGAGGTAACAAAATATTTCATTAATTAACAATTAAATTTATAGATTTTAATTCCTATTAAATAAATTATTTAAAATATAATAGATATTTAAAATACTTCTTTAAAAATTTTAGTCATAATATACTTAAATATGAAAAAGTTTAAATCGAGAAACATGTAAACAAATATTATTTTTTGTTTCTTTCTAATTTTTCCTATTTTTCTTTTTGTTAACGTCTGAAATTTTACATTAACCAAATGTTGATGAAATTACAAAGAGCCAAAGGCTGAAAAACAAACATCAAACACTTAAGGGAAGGGTTTAACGATGCTCTGATAATACCAACGTAATAAATCCTGAAACCATGATGGTCCACCCCGCGCCAGGTAAGAATTAAACTGACCGTCTCGAGTGATACTTTTGGCTATCTCACTTGCACCTTTATTGGCTCCCCCGTATTCATGTTCAATAGAACAGAAGGTAAAACCATTGCATAGATGAGCAATAAATGCGGACAATGAGCGGAATCAAGGCCAAAGAAGAGGTTTAGAGATTGCCTCTATCACCGAATGAAAGTCGGAGACGAGCCCTATCTCAGTGAAGTGAAGGTACCGTAAGCTCTGTATTGCCCAGATAATACACCGTAACTCCACAATGATTCTGTTAGGCGATGGGGTAAAGGCTTCTCTTGCATGAAAAAGAACCGAGCCTTGATGATCACGGACAATCCATGCCCTGCCACTGTGTAGAGTTTCATTCCTCCAATTAGCATGAATGTTGCACTTGACCACTCCCAATGCTGGAGGCTGCCATCTAGAATCGACAAGATGAAAGTAATACTTGTTACGATCCTCCAAAACCAAAGGTTCATTCAGCTTCGACCAGAGCAAAGCTTTTTCCTGAGCCCTTTGAACAATTACTGCAGGAGACTCCTGCTTGTTTGCGAAAATTATTTAGTTCTTGTTTTTCCATATGCTCCAAAGTAACAGTTGTGACGTCCTCCATAAGGTCCAGTAGTTTGGTTACATTGACTTCAAGATACGTTGTGAATGATGACACCGGGAAGGGAAGACGAGCTTCCTCAAATACTTGCTGAGCCGAGCCGCACAGAAACAATAAGTGATTGATCATTTCAGTATCTCGATGACACAAGGCACAACTAGAATTCATGGCTATTCCCCGAGAATTTAGTCTATCAGCCACCGCCAGAGCCCCATCAATGACTCTCCACCAGAATATCTTAATCTTAGGGGGCGAGTGAATTTTCCAAATGCGCTTCTTAATGTCTATCCGACTCTGATCAATTGGAGATATCGGCGGTTGAGGTATTTGAGGATGTGTCACAGCTAACCAATATCCACTGTTAACTGAGTACGCACCATTTTTTGTGAAAGCCCAGATGAACCTGTCGTCAACATCGCCAATTGGGAGATGTAAGATTCGCTCAGCATCGGCCAGAGGAAAGAGATCCCTCAACGCATTCTCCCTCCCTAAACCCTAAACCCTAAACCCTTCAACTCAAGATCATAGAATATATGATTATTCACTGGACGTCGTGGTTGCTCATCGAAAATCCATTTTTCCATCCAAACATTAGTGTTTTTCCCATTACCAATCAACTTTAGAAGGCCTCTTGATGCTAAGAGAATCAAGGGTTACTTCTAGCTTCACGTTTTAAATTTATAACCCTAAATATCTGCAAGTGCACAGATTTACGCTGTAGTACTTAGGAGTCGAACCACAGAGATTTTAAGCTTTCAGTGCGAATCAATCAAGACTTAAGACTAGCAGAACAAACAAATGAGGGTTTTTGGGTTTTGGTGTTCACTAAATCTAAGTGTAAACCAAAATAAAAAGGTTGTAAAACAATAGGAACAAATCGCTGGGTCTAAAGGGTTTTCGCAGGGGTTCATGAACTGATCAAAAGACAAACAAATCGATAAAGGAAATCAACTAGTAAGGTTCCCGAACTAGAATAGACACATGTAAGATTAGCCAACTGTCGTCACTGTAATCATCTAATCACTCAACACAGCAATTAACGCTCGCTCTCATGCTGCGAATAAGATCATGCATTAAAAACAGAATTCATCCACGCTCGCAATTCTCTTTAGGTAGCTTTCGTCTCCTACAGCGAATTCTCTCGATCATTTCTAGGTCTGGTAATTCGATACAGCACTCTCGTGGCTCCAATTACTGAGATCAATTTCTAAGCGGTTAGCAACAAAAACAGCATAGAGAACAAGAATGAACGAAGGACTCCTAGAATATTTTGAACCCTAAATCGAATAAAGCATAAGATCAAGACATGAAATTTCCTTTGAAAAATCCCTTAAAAACCCAACTGGGAAATTATTCAGACATAGTTGAATTCAACATCACAAGAGTATTTAGAATTTCAGAGAATTGAAATAGACAGAGTTTAGAAACGAAGAACAGGTTGAAGAAGGAGGGCCGATGGTGCCCCTCTCGGTGGCTCCTCTTCTGGGCGAGCTTCTCTTCTAGGGTTCCTGGTGAAAATGTAGCACACCCCTCTAAACGACTTAAAAAGGGGTTTATATAGTGTCTTGAGTCATCGGGAATGCCTAGGGCTTGCAGGAATAATGACGGGAGTGACTTGGGCTTTGATATGGGATTCTGAGGCTCGGAACTGAGCTCCCCGCGGTCTGAAATTTCGCACCCCCGGCGGATGATGTTTTGGCCACGGGTGAGCTTCTGACTGTGATGATTTGCCTTCAGTGTATCAAATATATCTTGAGATCTAACCGTTGGATTGCTTTGATTTTACTTTATTGGAAAGCTGGTTGTCTTCTCTATCTTGTGTCAAAATTTGGGGACGATCAGACGGTAGGAAGGCCTTTTTTTGCTACCAAACTTCCGACAGTATGAATTTATCCAAAGTTATGCTTTTTGCTCGCAAGTGCATTCCTTTTGTCAAAATATCCTGAAAACTCTTTTGAGATTCCAAAACATAGAAATCACTTAAAAACCTTTAAAAATGAGTGAAAACACCCGAATAAGATATTAAAAGTGATCCATAAAAGTGGTTAAAATCAGGTGTTATCACCTCTTACTAACAGATCCCTCCCGAACAGGATACTACACCACGCATATGAGGGTCAAAAGCCTTGTCCACAGTCAATAAAGCTTTTGGAAGAAAAATATCTCCCTTTAAGCAATCTTGCGAGTAAACTGTTTGGATCGTTTAGAACACGCCAGGCCTGCTTGGCCAAAAGAGCTTGATTAAACAGCTCCATGTCACGGAAACCGAAACCACCGCTCTGTTTCGATTTGCACATGGACTTCCAGGCAACCCAATGAATCTTTCTATTTTTCTCACATGCATTCCTCCAAAAATCCGACATAGCACTTGTAATCTTCCTGCAGTGGTGCTTTGTCAGCCGAAAACACGACATAGCATACACTGGAAGCGCCATAGCAACCGATTTGAGCAGTACCTCTTTACCACCTAAAGAAAGGGTTTTGGCGTACCATCCACTTAAACGCTTGGTTAACTTTTCACCAATAAAGGCTAAAAGTTGTTTAGATCCACTAAAACACTCCGGCAAGCCCAAGTATTTACCATCCCCACTTTCTTTATCGATGTCTAAAAGACTCGCTAAGAGTCTTCGCGATATCGGATCAATCGCCGAACCAAACGTGATAGATGACTTCTGAAGTTGATAACTTGACCAGAGGAATCACAGTAAAACTTCAAACATCGCAAAAACTCCAAGCATTCATTAAGGGTTGCACGACACAAGAAGAAACTGTCGTCAGCAAAAAGCAGGTGTTGGATTGATGGACATCTTGGCGAAAGTTTCATCCCTGTGATCTTTCCTTCACATTCTGCTTTATCCATAATATGAACTAAAGCTTCTGCACACAGGATAAATAAGAACGGCGATAAAGGATTGCCTTGACGGAGACCTCTTTCAGGTTGGATGTGACCATGTTCCTCACCGTTAAGAAGCATTGTATAAGAAACCGTTCTCACACAACTCATAATCCACGAAACCCATTTTAGATCAAAACCCATACGAAGAAGCAAAACCTCCAAAAAGTGCCATTCTACCCTGTCGTATGCCTTTGACATGTCAGTTTAAATGGCTATAAAATCATGTTTGCAGTGAGGATTAGTTCTCAGACCATGCACCATCTCATGTGCTATAAGCAGGTTGTCTGAGATCAATCTCACGGAAACAAAAGCTCCTTCGGTTGGAGAGACTAGACTTGGAAGAAACCGTTTTAGTCTGGAACATAAAATCTTTGAAATGATTTTATATGTCACAGAACACAGACTAATTGGTCTCAGATCAGTCATAACGTTTGTGTTGGCCTTCTTTGGCAGTAAAGAGATCTGTGTGAAATTACAACCAGCCGGTAATTACCATGTGTTAAAGAATTCTTTGACTTCCGACATGACATGAGTACCTGTGATGTCCCAAAAGTGTTGGAAGAACTTTCTTGTCATGCCATCCGAACCAGGGGAGCTGTCACCCTTGATAATTCTCACTGCTTTACTGATCTCAGCTTCTGTCACCGGTTTGATTAAGTCCCGATTCATCTGTGACGACACTTTGGAAGGTAGCGTGTCAAGAAGTTCATCA